CATTTCTATATAAATCAAAAAACACGTTTGTGAATCCTTGTGTGCATTCCTTAATATTGAGTCAGATCTGACCGCATAGAAACAAGTCGACAATTCTGTTTGATATCAGGCAAAATCTGATTATGTCGGCCGTGTCCAAGTACGTCTGTTATCCTTTTAGAGAGCGTTCACCTCATTATGCACGCTTCGAAGCATGATGCCCTTCAAATTATGTGCTGGAGTCACTTATGTCGGCACCTTGGTGTTGCTTACATGCTCTGACTAAATGTTGGCATTTTACTGTGAATTGAATTCAATGATTATATTTGAATGTTAGTGAGTAATGTGAAGAATGCTGTTATTTTACTATCTTATATTCATTTTACATAATAAATGATCATGGTAGGTCATCTCTTTAATTCCCCAAAAATATGAATTGTGTTTACCTAAGCTCGTACCAACCAATTTAAACCAATAACATCGTGACATCTATCCATCCAACAATCGATCTTCAACTTTTAGTGGCAAGTGAGGTGTGTGTGAGCCACAGTCCTCTCTACCACCGTATCGGACTACATTCTAAGCTCACACTTTTTAGCGGTCCAATCGAATGCGAACGATTCGATTTTCAATCCTATTGTGAATGTTCACTGCTCAAATATTGCGTTTCTTTGGAAAATACGTCCCAGAACAGAAGCTAAAGACGCTCTAGCTTCTGTTTCACTGAGACTTTAATCTTCTGTTGCTTTTTTGGATCAGCGGCAGTCTGGTTGAAAACTCATTTAAACTTTACCAACAGTTTCCAATTTCTTAATGGGTAAAAATGAACTTCCCTGTTGTGTGCAGCAGAACTACACAACAGCCTTCACAGCCTACATCTTATCTCATATACCATATCGTATTAAAACAGATAATACTGTGATATTTCATCGTGTTTGTTTCTCCTGTCTTGTACCAAATTAAGCAGAGCAGTAGCAGAAACAAATCCACCCCTATCATGATTAATGCTCCTGATAGGCGTTTACAAGTGCACAGTTCCAGCTCAAAATTCACACAACATCTTTCGGGTTGTCATTCACCACTGAGCATCGTGTATTTCCGCAATGCTCTGAAAAAGTAATAGGTCATCAATAAATGAATGGCTGTGCACAACTCCTCATTTTTCTCTGATGTCAGCTGATGACCAGACTGTTGGTTGTGCATACTGATAACAAATGACTGCGCCCTTCGCTGACCCTGCTGGTGGCAGAGGATGCCTGGCTGTGCGACGCAAATTCACTGAATAATCATTATGCCGGGCCACCGCAGGGATTTAATAAACTAGCAAATTGACTGGCTCCAATCAGGTCACAGTGTACGCGCTTGTATCTCGTCTAAACCCTCTGTGACGGCTCGATGATAACGCAGGACTGTGTGTGGGGTGATGTCCGGGATGCGAATGAGGCTTAACACTGTTAAGTTGGTGTGTTAACCACATTGTCCAACTGCTAAAGCTCAGATATAAACACATTTCAATTGAAAGCCACAAAGCTCTCAAAACTGACATTTCAGGATTTAATATAACCTAATTTCTCAGATGGTATTCTTCATCTATCATGATTGAATTAACTTTCACTTGACAAAAAATAAAGACTGCATGTATGTTGCTTTTAGCTACTTACAAGCTTATACAAGGAAATGGTGCAAATGCAACAATGGTTTCCTTTTTGGAATTTGTGTTTTAATGCAAACGCCGATACTAACTTCACAATGTTTGATGCGTCTGAGCGAAGAAGATTTATCTAATGCATTGTTAAAACCGTTTGCTTAGGCGTGTCTGTGGACGCCGGGTGCTCATTTTGCCTTTCCTTTGAGTTTATATATCTGCCCGTTCTGCTCAAAGCCAAATGCTTCATAGATTGTAATTAATGCAGTGAAGCACCACTCTAGTCAATATTTATTGGTCAGTGAGACAGTGTGCGCAATGTGAAAGTAGAGTTTGTGGATGCCAGTCTGTATGCGCCTCAGTTCAGTTATTTTTCTTCCTTCCATGACAGTTTTACAGTTCAGTTACACTCTCTTATCGAGACTAAGTGCAGTGCAACCCTGCGTTGAATTAAGGTCATGTGCAAAACAACTGAAAAGCATTAAAGTTGAATATTGACAGATATTTCAATATGAATGCTAAGCGGATACAGTTTTTATGAGCTTTCCTTCTTTACGTCGGCAGAAATAAAAATGTGGCCAGCTTTGTTTTCAAAATGAAGCCATTATTTTAATATTAAACATAATTAATGTAGCTGGATAGGCTTAGGTAAGTAATACAATTTATAGCTGAGGGTTAAGATGAAGTTCATGGTTAAACAAAAAAAGAAAAAGATTCATCAAATTTATAGCGGTATTAATCCAATGTGGCCTGAAGGTGGCAGAAATATGACAAAACTTGCTGATAAATAGCAGCCACCGTAGTACTAGCCCCTAACGTTTTATGGCTAACATCTTAGCAAACAGTTGCTTAATTAGACGTTAAGCAAAGCAACATTATCATTCCATCCGGCGTTATGTTTCTGGCCACCTGCTGAATATAAACCCAGCTCTGTTTTTGTCTCCATCACCCCAGGAGAAAAACAGATCTGGGTTTGGCTAAAATGTTTATTCTTCAACAGCTAGTTGCTGATGTTGTCTGTTTGCTGCTGGGAAGGTAGCAAAGCATAGATTTTCAGCTTGACACAGGGGAAACTGTGCATCTTCATGTCAAAGAAATTAGCTTAAAAAAAGGCTAAGATCTTTAGATCTTTTGAATCTAGTTTGTGCAGGACATCTTGGGGACACTTTGGATGAGTTCAAAAAATTAAAACTTCACTTTTAGTGGGACATGTCTTTGCAGATGTTAGGGATTCAAGCCACAATAGTTCAGTACAAACTTATGTCAGAGCTGTCATTGATCAATCCTGTGCTGGAGTGAGTCGTGGTTTGTATGCGAGGATGAGTGTTCAGGCATTTTAGCTTTCATTGTAGCCATTAACATGGTCCATTTGGCATGTGAAGAGAAAAAGAAAGGCTTAGATATTTGTATTACCATGGCATTTCTTTGAAGGATAGCTACACTTATTACATAGATATAGTGACCTTTTCACCGATAGAATAAGCTGTGGACAAATACGGTTGTGTCTCTTACGTTCATAACTTTACGCAACAGTGCAGCATTGAGAGGCACTCGCTCTGATGGTTGTTGAGTTTCTTTAATTATTTTTTTTCTCTGCTCATCATACCCGTCCACCGTCCCTTGAGGACCATCGCAAAGGGCAATCTAAGAGTGAGCAAGCTGCTATTAGAAAGCCGATATATTTGATGTGGTTCATGGGTTTCTGCACAGACTGATCTGTGGCTTGTCAAGACTTATTGGTGTTCATATAGGTTAAAATGGCAGACCACAACAGAAGCATGTCCTCAAAGAAATTAACACTAATCGTTTATTGAGGGGAAAATGTTGTTCTCATAAAACCTTTTTAATTATGTACTATTTCTTCAAATAACTGCTGCTAAAGAAAGACATACAAGCTGCAATGTTTGGCTCTGGTACTATTTGTTCTCCCCAGCCTGCAAAACCCAAGCCGTTCCCCCTTTAGTCATTCACTGTAGAGCGTTCATTCACATAAAGCCACACTCACATAAAGGTGAGGTAAACTGTGGGACACGCTGGCCACTGTAAACATACTCTATGCCATCAAAGTAGCTTTGGGTTTAATCGAAGGCTTTGCCCTTGAGATTTCCTCAGACTGTTGGGTTTTAAGGTCTGGAGGGGTAAAATAAAACTCGATTTTACGCAAACGACTTTCAAAATATCCTTTAGATTTTGTAGATCCTTTTATAACCTCTGAGTTTTATCTGCTGACCCCTTAGGGATCTGGACCCATGGGTTATGAACCACTGCTCTATGCGATAGCTCAATGAATACCTGTATGAAGACTGTGTATATATCTTTATATTTACACACACACACACACACACAACACACAACATGCATAAAACATCCAGCATACTTTAAAGAATAAGACATTTAATGACATCACCTCCTACTCTAGGATATTGTGATGGACATTTTCCTCTGCTTTCTGATGTTTTATGGATCAAATGATTGATCGAGTAAAATAACACGCAGATGGGATGCTCCTGTAGCTCGCCTTGTAGAGCGGGCACACCATGTAGACGGACTTCTTACTGCAGCGAGTTTGAATCTGACCCACAGGCCTTTGCTGCATCTTGTTCCCTCTCTCTCTCCCCCTTTCCTGCCCTTCTCCAGCTGAGGTATAATAAAGGCAAAAAGCATAAATAATTGTAATGGAAATATTTGTTAGTAGCAGCGATGTATTGTCTCGTTCTTATTCTAACATCACTAAATGTTCCATGAAACCTTAAAGAACTTTGAAAAAGACAGCGAAAGGCAAATGTAATAAGGTTATATTATAATTCACAATGAATTAAAACATGTTCATGATGTTTCTTCTGTTTTACCAGTATGTGGGCTTCCATTAGTGCTGTTGCCCGCCTGTCAGAAGTTTAAGAAGTTCACTCTCCTCACCACTAACTGATTCAGCCCTTAAAATGACAAAGCCTCCATGACAATGTAGATCTGATGAGGGTTTCCCAGTCGGAATGGGAAAGCATACTCGCATAGGCGGAACATATTTCTCTCTTAAAAAAAAACATTTAAAGTAATTTAATTAAAATGTACATTTATTTGACATCTTTGCAGTCTTGGGTTGAAGTAAACAGACTTTTAACCACTCTCAATGTGGGTGTTATGGATTTATACTAATATTTTGTGACTTTAGAAAAACATCATCCTGTATCAACGGGGATTCCCTGAGGGTTGACGGGACTGAAAGAGCCTTAATGTGATCCAACCTGTAACAAGAGCCTTAATGTGATCCAACCTGTAACCTTTAACTCAGACCTTCCATCTGTTCTGCTACACATCGATCACAGGTTGTGGATCGGTCAACGATGTAACTTTTTTTCTTTCTGTGTGTTTTCCGCAGCTTTTATGGGACACAATGGCTATCCAAGTCCATGTGAACACAAGTACTGTGGCTTGGGGCGTCACTGTGTGGCCAACCACGAGACTGGCCAAGGGGAGTGTAAGTGCTTGGATCACTGTAAGCCGCACTATAAACCCGTGTGTGGTTCAGATGGGAAGCTGTACCAAAACCATTGTGAGCTCCACCGGGCCTCCTGTCTCAAAGGACACAAGATTACCATCATGCACAGTGAGGAGTGCTTCTACAAAGGTAAGAGCTCATGTGACCTTTCTCTAATGGTGTGTGCGCTCCAGTGAATGCTGTATGTCTACCACCGTGCCCTTTGCAATGCATGCGAGTTTCCTTTTGGCCCTGTAACCTGTGGGTTTTAATCGAGTTTGCCTCCTGCTATGACAGGCACTTAAATGTTTAGATAAAAAACAACATTTAATGCATCCACAGTATGGACATGTGAAGCTAGTTTCTGCAAAAGAAATGTGTGTGTTTGCTGAAAAGTGTTTCTGATTTTGACAACTTCACCATTTGAAGGTGGTTCATTTTTAGTGCAATGAAGGAAAAGAACCTACACAACATACTGTATATAAGGTCAGGGACACTTTCATCCAAACTCATGCAGTTTTACTATAGGTACCTCCATGGTACACAAATGCTTATACCTGGGCAGTGTTAGTGTCATGTCGGACCCATTCTGTGACCCAGGACTGAATCTAGGTTATTTATGACCTAAAGGGATTGGGAAATTAAAGACGTTTTCAACATAGAAGAAGAGGAATAACTGAAACATCTGTGAGCGAGAGACAGTCTAGGAAGTTACCATCAGCCAAATGTTGGCTGCTGAGCCAGTTTACTCCACCAGCCTCTTTGGCAGTCAACCAGCCATCATTAGGGAGTGCCCTTCTAATCTTCTGCTACTTGGTTGGTAAAATAGTGCAAGTCTCCATTTTGGCTTACAGGCTTAAAATATTCTTACCCCAGATCTAAATGGCTCATTGAAAATATGTCACTCCAATGAAGATAAATAATAATTTCACCCACAAACAGTGACTAGAATAAACAACGATCGCTTTGGTGTGTTTTGTAGAGTTTGCTCATTTTGCAGAAATTACACCCGCTGGCTCTGCTATTGAGCAGCTTTTGTTGAATTTACTTTGGGGAATATGGACTTATGGGAATAGATTACCAATTTGGGGAAATACAACGGTCATCTTAGCTTAGCATAAAGACTGGGACAACAGCTAGCCTGGCTAAGTTTAAAGATTAAAAAACTGCCTACCAGTATCTCTAAAGCTCCCTAATTAGGCAGATGCTAGTACACCAGCTGAGACTCCATGAAGTTACTATCAGCAGCCAAGAAATAGTCCGACACATATTCCCCTGTGAAGCAGAGAATCCTCATTTTTACTTTAATGTTTTTTGTACAGATTGAACAAACCAGGTGTAAGATGTTAATTTGTGAGATTTTAGAGTTTGGTATCCCCCTTTTCCACAAAAGCTTTACCAGGAAGCAAATGAGCGTATTTGTTGAACTATTCTTTTAATATGACAGCAGGCGTAAAAAAAAAAAATCAAACCCATATTTTCCATCTCCTGAAAACTGTAATGCACAATGTCATAACAACACATCATTTTTGTTTGTAAAACTGTACTCAGTAAGAGGACCCACTTTCATTTTTAAAAGATAAAATAATTATTTTGAAAATCAATGTAGGAGTATTATTCAGGGGAAACATGAAAAGCAGCATATAAATTAAGGGGTTATCTCTAATGTTCTCTGTAGATGCACATATTACTGCATATTACAGTCCATTATAGAACATAACAGCACATGCCATTGTACCTTAACATCTTACACATAATTAAAGACATTGTTGAACCAATGACATGAAATATTGACATATATAGTGATGTATAACATTGCATAGTGAACACAACATAGAGATCAGAACGCTCAATCTGAAACCAGTCATATTGTGAAATGCACAGCTTGGTTCGAAGGAGGGAGCAGGTGGTTGCACTGTCGTGTTCATATTTCCCCAGAGAAGGTTGACTGCTCCCTACCATTGATTGTATAAACACACCAATTATTCTTAGTCCCTGGAAACAAGGCTACTCTCTCTTTTGTAACGCTAGACATTAGTGAAGTAAGAGCTCCTGACACGCCGCACCTTTGTTCTATTCAGAGCAAACGGGAATTGTTGCAAACTCACAGGCAGCATATTCATAATATTCATGAGCGATTGACTGAGTCTCCGCATTGCTTCGACAGGGCTTCTCAGCTCACTTGTTTACTTTGAAAAGTAACTTCATACGAGACTGAGAACCACTTTGGATCTATGTACTGTTTCTGATAAAACTCTCTTGTGGTCTTCCCTACAGAGGGTTTTTGGGGCCAACATCCTCGGTTTGTGAAGCCAAAAACAAAACAAAAACAAAAAAAAAAAACGAACAGCACATCCGTCTCACCACATACACGCATTCTGGCACCACTAAAATGTTCAATTTAGAGATGAACAAAGCCTTACAGCGGGAAAGGAAAATATGTGCACGCTTTTACAGCAATTCCCTGCTCTATACAAGAGCCAACACATGCAAACCGTCTTAAAACAGCAGCATCATGATTTGTCATACATTAAGAGCAGCCTAGATAAGCCTCTGATGACAATCAAAGCATCTGTTTCATCCCAATCACAGTAAAAAGGCATTCAGATCAGTGATACATCCCTGGTTGGTGTACGTCTCTGTGCCCCCCCCCCCAGCACCCAATCAGCATCTATCCGCAATGCAGAGTGGGATATTTGACCAATGTCAGGCGATCAATATCAGATCAACAGGAGCCAAAGGAAGCAATCATTTAAAAAAAAAAAACACAAGCCCCCCCTCCCATCACCTCCCTCGCTCGGTCCAGACGTTCTTTCTTTTTACAGTGATGGATATTTAATCAATTTCTCATTGCATGAGAGCGCCAGGGAGAGGACACAGGACACCATTAGTGATCTCTGCTAAAGGCATTGTTTTGTTCTCGACACTTTCAAATATTAAAAAAATAGAAATGCAAATTATAAAAAACGTTTACAGTTGTAAATGTTTACACAGGAAAACAGAGGGATTGCCTGAATATTGCACAGCCTCGGAGGATCTGTTCTTTGTTTCAAAGGGAACAAAAAGGAACCATGGCAATCAGAGGAAATAGATAATTGAGCAAATGTAACAGAGCTTTCAACTAAATGTGATGTGATTATGATTCAGGGGTTATTAGTGGGTAAAATGAAATCTGCCCTCACTGGCATGTTAAATGTGTCAGTTGATTTTTTTGTCCTCCAGGTAATGGGTTCAATTTACCTTGCAATATGGAGATACATTCTCATTATCGTAGCATAAAAAAGAATTTCCCCCTGACCTTTCTTCTAGCGGCACCATGCGGTTGACTTTTCTTGTGTGAAATAGGACAACCATTACTGTCGCCTTACGGCAAAAGGGGCCGGGGTTCAAACCCAGGCTGGCCGGCCCATATGTGTGGAGTTTGCATGTTCTCCCTGTGACAGCGTGAGGTTGCTCCGGCTTCTGCGGCGTCCTCCCACAGTCCAAAGACGTGCAGGTCAGGTTAATTGAGAACTCTAAATTACCCGTAGGTGGGAGTGGAAGTGTGGATGGTTGTCTGTCTGCATGTGTCAGCCCTGTGACAGCCTGGCGACCTGTCCAGGGTCAACCCTGCCAGCTCCAGCCCCCCCGGCCCTGAGTAGGAGAAGCGGCAGCTGCAGATAATGGATGGATGGACGACAACCATTGGATGGATTGCTCTGCAACTTGGTGCAGACATTCATGATCCCTTCATGATGAATTGTAACTGTATCTCCTGACATTACATCTAGCGCCATCATCTGGTCAATTTTTTATTCATCAAATACTTTCATTTTCTGACCAAATACATGCAAAACCAATAACATTCCCATCAGTTTCAGCTGTACGTTGTGTGTAGGAGGGATGTCCCCAGTCGTTCCAAAGGATTGGAATCAGGGCAGATCTGGGCCTATTTTAATGTCGGTGTCTTGTAAAATAAAGTCAATAAAATCCGATCTGGTCTTGTGCTATGTTCTGTCCACATTAGCCTACTTGTGTTGCAGCGCTGTCGCCTTCCTTTACCACAGCCGGGCTCTACGGTCCAGCATTTCATCGCATATGAGGGATAACATTTTAGTTATATATGAGCTTATATTTGATGCACATTTGTTTCCTTCCAACATTACAATCTTCCTTGTAGTTCTTTTGAATCCCATCTGCACTATGTTCACACCTCCTTTCAGAAGTGGAGATTTTTCCCCCAAAACATATTGAGACTTCCTCCCTTAAATGAATATGCAGTGAGGAGAAAGTGCACCCTGCAGACACTCGCACAAATGATAAGCAAACTGCGACTCTAGCCGGGTTTGTTTGACAAATACAGCACATGAGTTTTGTTTGGGGTGGAATGCATCAAGTTTGCATCTGAAAACAGGTGCAAAAACCTCAATAAATCTCTCCCTCAGTTGTTGATTGGCTGAATATACGGCATGGAAAGCTTCTCATTACAGCAGCATACAGTCTTCCCCTTGTCCAGTATATTAAACTGGTTGTAATCTTTGACTGTAGGCTGTTAAATTTGGTACACACTGCCATAAACGAACTGTCAATGCCAGATGGATGACATGCTGGTTACACTAATGCTCTGCTGACTGCAATAAATTGCCTCATACTTTCACTGCTGTTAGATAGAAGCTAATAAAATGGTGATCAGCTGGTCACAGGAGATGTATTTCCATCATTTATCAGCCACTTTCAAACCACATTCAGTGGCCAAACAATCAGTGCAAACCTAATTTTAATTATGGATGTGCAGGTCATCTTATTTTAGACCCGTATGCGTTCAGCAGATCTAAAATCCTCTACAGCACGACTGCTGATTAAACACTGAACATCCTCCAATGTAAATATTCAGAAAACAAATGTGTAAGCGGCACATCAGTGCAAGCGGATAGCACTGATGATGATGATCATGTAATATTCCCACTACAATAGTTTTGTACTGTACTACAGATAGATTTGTTTACACTAGTACTTAATACTTGAATATTTTATTAATATAAAATACAATTAATATTATTTTAAGAGAACAAGTAGTGAGTTGGTGAATTTAGGAGGTTTCTGCCCGGAGTGTCCCGCGTATTACTTCTTCTACTCTGCATTCCGGACACGACAAACCTTTATTACTTGAA